AATATGTTGCAAATACACTCGTGTTTACATAGGAGTAGCACATCCAAGACTGATTTTAATGACGTCCCTACATCTACTAAACGGCAAATGCGCAGCATGGAGAGAGTTATAAACATAAGTTTTTTCCCCTACCAATTGCAACCTCCTACAACATAGATGTGGTGCATCCAAATGTGATGTTCTAGAGTTAATTTATTTTATAGTTATCGCAATTCTGTCTGGCACACAGCATAACATAAACTCTTATTATAGTTATCGTAACCATTCAGATTTAGTTGCGATAACTATAAAACAGTTGATTAAATCATATGCATTAATTCTATGTACAAAATTCATATAGTTGTGTTACTTATTATATTTTTCTCTGAGTGTGTACAGAAGAAGCATGTAATCTAGTTTCGACTCCATCGTGACCCTCAATCTATTTTCTCCGAGCCCTTCGTTCCGAAAGAGAAGGGCCTCTCGAGAAGTTAGTAAATTAATAAACGCATCATCTGCATCTGCAAGATATGCAAATAAACAGAAAAAGTGAGCTACGGCGAGCCTTTAAAGCGATCTTACCGAAGGTTAATCTACGACGGTAATCGACTCAAGTCGCTCCGATTCTCGTGCCCAAGTTCCCCTTCGGCAGGCGGGAAGTTACTCGCGTTGGGGATCGCTGGAAACAGCTGCGAACACGGAAAACGGAGCTTTCTCGCGTTTCGCACGCGGATTAATTTGAAGCTGGTCGGACCCGGCCGAGATGCATTCTTAAAGTCGCCGTTCCTCCCGTCGTAAAATCCGCGCGCGCCCGCCCATATTGCGCGATTTATTTCCCTTGGCGACCGCAATATCCCTACCACCAGAAGCAGCGGCAATAGCAGCCGGTGGAGCTCTGAAGGAACGACTGAAGGAGTCGGACGAGAGCTACGGGATCGAGTTCCTCTGCGCGAAACTTTAATTTCTCACGACTTCGCGAAAGTCTCGGCGCCGTCTTCTTCGCCACCTACGGCGGGAAAATGTGTGCGCGCATATATATAGCGAAAAACTTTTCGCGCTGCGACGTTGCATACGTGTAAACGCTCGCCTACCAGGAGTTGAAATTACAATCCCGAACACACCGACCCTTCGGTGGTGCGCGATCGTTAGAAAGATATGGAACGAGGAGGCGGGCGAGATTGTCGAGAAATATTAAATTCGCAATAGCGAAGCGAACGAAATTCATCTATCCGTGCGGATCAAACGCGCAGGTTATACGCCGCCGATCCATTTGGCTCATCAGCTTAACGCTGCGCTAAAATGCGCGCGACATCAAGGTGTAATGGCGCGACGGGAACTATGAAAACGTTTTTCCCCAAAATTTCCGACAGCGGATGAAACTATCCGAGCGGAGGAATAATAAAAGGGACATTCAGCGAGAGCAGGGTTAATAGATTTTAAAGCGAGCATTTAAACCGTTCGTTTGTTTTTTATCCGCATTTGTTTATTAAATAATAGCAGTTCGCGCGTATGCACCACGATGTGTGCAACACGCCAAAATTAAAAAAAATCAAGCCCCGAGCTGAGCGTTAATCGGCTAACTTGGTACAACCGGCGCCGCTATTTATCCGTCTTCCTATCCGCGTGTCATCCCGTTGAATTAATTCGTTTGTTTTGACGATTACCGTGCGTTCGATCGTTTACCGTAAATCCGCCGTTATTAATCGCCTCTCCCCGCCGGTTGTGTTTGCTCAAATTAGCATTATTATTTCCCGGCGTTTCCGCGTTTTCTCTCTCTTTCTTTCTTTTTTTTCTTTTTCGTTCCCGCATCGCCGTTGACAATTACGAATTACAAGCGATAAATTAAAGCTCGGCTTAATTACGAGCTTGCGTGTCATACTCTCGCTTCTCGCGCTGCATGGCATGCGTTAAGGGCGAGGGAAAGGGCGGAGAACAAGAGGAAAGAGGAGAAGCGGCGGAAGGGTGGTGGATAAAACGCCGGCTGCCTACGTTGAAACGCTGTTTGCACAACTTTTTTTCCTCTCATCTAGCTGGATTAATGCGTAAACCGAGCACCTTATGAAGAAACGGCGGGCGCGCTGCGTGACAAATAGTCGTCGGACGCGAGTTGATTCGAGTACTACCCTTTTTTTCTCTTTTTCCTCGTTTTGCATCGTAACCCACCGGTACTGCCGTCACTCCCAACGCTTTGGCGAGCGAGCGGCAAAAGAGGCGAGATTTCGCGACAAAGAAACAGCCGCTTATTACCAGCGGCCAGTCGGATGCTTATCCGGATGAAAAATCGTGGCTTTCGCGCTCTCTCGCGGTCTGCTTTTTGTCACAATTTCCGCGCTACCGCCAATTAGATCTTGGCACTCGCGAAATTGGGTCTATGCTCGTCGCCGTTTCCCACTTTATATACTCGAAGAGAGAGAGAGAGAGAGACATGTGCGTGGAAAGGTTGGGACCCAGCGGCGGACGAGAACGTGCGATGTAACAAGTACGGTTACATTAATAATGTCGCCTCGTCCGAAAAAGGAATGAGAATCGCGAGAGTGAAATGCGAGAACTTAATCCACTTTGGTTTTTCGAGAGTACACGATGTTTGCGTTCGTGTGAACTACAATCGCGCAAACGGATCTTTGGCACTTGCCGACATTTAGTGACAGAGTGATATCATGCCGCGAGACGAATGCGCGAAACCAAATCGGGCTGCGTGAATCTTTAAACAGGAGTTATATTCTTCGATCGGATCACCGGCTAAATACTATTCGCGGCATGGATAGACACACATATGCGAGGAGAAGTGCATCGACCTCGAGGATAAATCGAGAACGGCGGGATGAGTGGACTGAATAATTTCTGACCGTCTCGGTGACATTGTTGGCAACGTGCACTCGTAAAAAATGCACGACGATATCATTGAATTATTTTTAGATGTCAGTTGAGATAACGTAAAAAGATGACGTCGCTGCTTGCGTTAGAATTGAATTATTCGTACGTCGATGTTGTGTTCCAATTTCGACCAACAATTCGTTTATTTGCCATTCATGTGGCTGTTTGTTATCGTTGCTGACTGCGTCGATTTCGATTTCACGAGCGGATGTGATTGCACGGAGACAATTTGCTAGCAATTTATAAACGGTATCGATTCACTTAAAAAAAAAAAACATCTATCATACGGAAAATGATGTACCTTGGGAATAAACATTTAACTATCACTTTATGCTTATGATAACAAATTTTGTGTCAATTTAACACAAGGTGAAAAGTTACACAAATATTATGTCAACAATTAATATCCATGATATATTAAACGACACTGAAGTGTAAAATGTGTTACTTTAACACTTACATGTGTTAAATATCAACACAAAATATTAAGGCAAAATAAACACAATATGTTAAATTAACACATGGGTATATTAAAAATTTAACACAAACATTTTAACAAGGGCGATTTTAACAAAAGTGCAAAATGTTGTGTACTAAATGTTGTATATAGTATAATAGGAAAAACTGACGATAATTGAAGAAAATTGAAAAAATTTTAAAATTTCTTCGAATAATGTATATAAAGAAATTGAATATTTCAAATAATTAAAAATTTCCATTTTTCTCTCTCAGCTTTCCTGTCACCAACAACATAAAGATTAATTAAAAATTCATAAGATTAGAAAAGAACATCAGGGGGAGATAATGTACTAATTTGGAGAGACAAAGAGATAGAGAGAGAGAGAGAGAGAGAACGAAAGAATTTAGAGTTTAAGATATTTAATCTAGACGAATTATATGTACAAAGTGTTGCATCAACATATGACCCATCATACGACGGGTTACCTGCCCCAGATGGCAAATTCGGACTTGTCGATATGGTCACTCGCATACCTTTTTTTTTTATTATGATAATTAGGATGATAATTAGGAACGCTTTAACTACGTTGGAAAAGTATGACTAAATCGACAAATCCGAAATTAACATCTGGACGCACGTGCCTTTGGGCAGGCAACCCGTCGTAATGGATCATATGTTGATGCAACACCCTGTATTTTTTCCCATAAAAATTCAATCCACATTAAAATTTATTCTAAATCTGCTCTCGCTCGTTAACCATTCCCGTTTTTTCGTCGAGTGAGCAAATCGGAACGATCATCCTTTACACCGGCGAATGCATTGCTTACCGGAGCTAATTGAATGCTCGTTGCTGCATCTGATTATGCGCGTAGACCATCCCGAAGTTGCCATTTGCAGGCACTACGTGTATATACATCACTTGGCGGACGTATATGCACGCTGGTCGTATCCTGTCTGCCCTACGGCAGGATCCGTTTAACGTTCATTGTCCTACGACGCTAGCGGAAATGAACATTCCACGATCGAATGTTTAGCACGCGTCTCTGTTACGATGGATGTCATGCTAACATGTGATTACGATGGACAAGTCCGATATTAATTGACTAATGACGCGCGTCTGGAAAAATCGCCAGAGACAATGTCGCGCAAATACTCTCTACGCGCGTTGGAAATAAAATAATCGCGAAGAATTACGTTTTCGACGTTCGAGAGAAATTACGTGAACGCCAAAATGTAATCAAATTAATATTACTATGTCGATATCCGGATAGAATATTCAATGGAATATGAAAACGCAAACGTATTTCAGATTTGCGCCGCTTCACGCTTTGCAAATTTCCAGATTTTATCGATATGAAATTAAGATATTAACTTCTCATTAAGAGAAATGGGAAATGTAATCGAAGTTATATCAATCAAACGTATATTTAATTTCCCCGCTGAAATATTATTTAGAAGACGTGAATTCTCGTGAATTTTTCATTACGGGAGTTTTTTTCTCTTTTCGGCGAGACATTATATTTGTCGCTTTGACGGATAAGAAAGATGGAGACAAATCGGGGGGACGTAAATGCGTTTTTATTTCAAGAGAGGGACGAATTAAATCGGACAGATTATAAGCGTGCATTATTAACGTCTATAACGCCGCGCATCGCTCGCGGCTGCTAATGTTACGGCTACTTTACAGATTGCATATGGATGGAGTGGCATATACGCGGAGGAAAGCACGCTTTCCATGTGGCGGATGGACAGATGTCTCAACTGGCGCGCGTACGGAACGCCGGGACCGAAAACGGAATACGAACGACGGAGATAATAAAACCATTAGGATCAAACGTTACGGCGTTTTCGCTCGTAACAAATGACGCTCGCGAAAGAAAATATGGAGATATAGCGTAGTAGCATTTCACCGGTGTAAATTCCGCGCTATCAATCATACTTTCGAAGGCTCCTGGTTGGAACGTTGCATTCGTTATTCTCCTTAGTAAAGAGTACAAATAACAAAGAGACTGGAATGTAGCATCATGGCGGATGATTAAAATAAAGCCGGAGTTAAAAGCGCACCGCGCGGAATCTTTTCAATCTCCGCGGCTTCCATCGTTTCGTCGAAACTTTTCTTCTCTTCCCCCCCCCCCCCNCCACGGCCATGTATAAACGCGAAAGAGATGTTTTTTCGCATCTTAAAAATAAATATTTTTCTATTAATGGAAATTTTATATCACCAGGTAAAACTATTTGTCTTCGACTCCCCGTGGCGATCGAGAAATAAAAACTCGTCAGAGGAATCAATCGATGACTCTCGATGTAAATTTCGTGAAGGAACGCGTATTTCAGCTCTTCTCTTACTACGTCGCAGATCCGTCGAGGCTTCAAGACGAACATGTCGTTCACGAGGCGGGTGAAAGTAATCGCGGAGGATGCATAGACACTGTAATCTGACGCGCATCATTCTCCGTACGATGAGATAATCGCGTGAACGAGTGTGCCGACTTGTCGCGACGGCTGTCTCGTGGGACGCGTTGTGTCGCGCGCCGTGTTAACCGCGAGATGGCAAACTCCGGAATTATGCGAGGAAACTGTGGGCAGCTCCGTTTTCGATGTACCTTGCCACTTAGCAGCCGCGAATAAACCACGAGCAACGAGTAACGACTCGTGCAGCTGCTAAAGCGACAAACGTGAATAACGGTCGGGCTGCAACTCTTCCCTTTAGCGCTTTAGGAACGTAGCTATTATACAGCAGCGGTAAGTAAAGCACGGTAGCCCACAAATACAGGAAGCTTATCCTCTTTCCAGGAAGAGGAAAGAGCAGACGCTGGAAATGCGGCGGAGAGAGAGTTTTCAAATTAAAAAGGTTCTCTTCTTCTCTCTCTCTTTCTTTCTCCACTTTTTTTCTCTTCATCTCGTCCACTCTCTCGCGCCTTTCAAGCGTTTTTTCGGAGGTTTTTTCACTTCTCCCGATTTCCCTAGTAATATTTTGCGCTTTTAAAAGAACCATGTAACAACGCCGGCGACGATATGTACAGACAGCAGTTCCAATAGATGAATCCAGTATAAAGACCTTAAAGTTTCGACTACGCTAGTACTGCACTTTCTACCCGTCGTCGTTCACGTCTGCCCCGCGGCATTCGTCCAACCGAGTTGTACTTGCTGTTGCTAGTTGGTTCTCTAGTTCTACCCTTTCATTCTCGTGAAATACAGTATACTGCGGAACTATCGCGCGAAACGCTCTGTCCATATCCAGCGCTCGAAAGTGAATTAAACGCGTCTCTACAAACACGGTATCTACTAAACGTTGCTGGAAATCTTGGCTCGGATTTTTAATAAAACAGAGACTGCATCGTTGCTTGCCTCGAGATTCCTCGGCGCGATTAACTTGAAGTGATTTCAAACGTCCGTGTGAATATTGTTCAGCTAATGTGTGTGTAACGTGAAATATTTTCAAGAATTTCTGTTGCGGAATCGACACTCCTTCATTTTCCTTGTTACGCTCTTGATGAAATCGATACGTCGATCCAACATTTACCCGAGTGTCGTAATTTCAATCACTTAAACGTTTCAATACCGAGAGAGACTGTCTTGCGAGCGTAGATCCGTGTCGTTCGTATTTACGGAGCGTTCGTTTCCGTAAAGAGCATACGTCGCGTTTTGCAACGCGTTGCACAATCCTGTCCAATCTTCGTGGCATAGGAAAGGTCGTCATTGCAGGTGTATACGAATAGTTTACGTGTATCGTGAGTACGAAGTCTCTCAGAACATCAATTCGCAGTTGAACAACTAACGTATCTAATACTCTACATGGAAAAAACAAATTTTGCTGGAACAGCAAATTGTTTATTAATATAGTGACAGTAAAAAGACTTGTTACATAACTATAATTTATAAATATAATTTTGCTATTGTAGCATTGCGGCAGCAATAAAAAATTGAGTTGGCATAACCAAATTATTTTGCTGCTAGAGGGTCTTCCATGAAGAGGTGTCATATTTGTCAGCATTAAGAGCTATCATATTTGTCAGCTGTCGAATAAAAACTATGCGATTAATAACAATGGATCGCTTGAGCAACATACGGAAATAGTGAGAACTTAATACAAACATGGTGAAAATTTTACGGGGACAGTTCGCATAATCCATATCAGTTTCGGTCGCAGAGAAACGCCTTTTCGTCCAGCAAATGTGTATTTAATCGATAAATTTGAACGTCTCGATCAGATTAGTGATGTTAAGAACCGAACCCGTGCTCGGCCAGCCAAATCAACTGAAAACATTGCTGCTGTGGCTGAAAGTGTCGCGGAAAATCCAGATGTCTATTGCAAGACGTTCGCAGCCATTGGGCATTTCACAAACCTGCACCGCATTTTGCACAAAGAAGGACAAAGATTTCAGCAGGATGGGGCTACGTGCCACATAAGCTGTGAAACGATCGCGTTATTACGTGAGAAGTTTCCTGAACGTGTCATTTCGCGCAACGACGGAGGTTTGAACTGGCCGCCTAGATCGTGCGATTTGACACCGCTGGACTTCTTCTTTTGGGATTATGTGAAGATTTACACCGATGCCCCGCAAACGACTCAAACGCTCAAAGACAATATTCGAACTATTATTGGCGAAATTGAGCCGTGATTGTGCGAAAACATGATGGAAAATTTCCTCAAAAGAATGATCATTTGCGAGAAAAGTCGAGGCGGCTGATATGGTATTCCACGTTTAATCGCACAATCTGTACTTTGGGTTAAAATAAAAATATCACAGGTCTCTCAAAAACAAATTTGTTTTTGTATTAATTTAAAATGAAACCTTTTAATGGAAGACCCTGTCAGCAAATAGCAATTAATGCTTTAACAAATCACGGTCCAAGCAAACATTTTTGTTGTCGCTATATTAACAAACAATTTACTGTTCTAGCAAATTTGCTTTCCCCGTGTTTAGAGAATATATTTTTGTCTTAAAAGCGCGGAATGTGTATGCAAACGAAATGCGTGCACATACACACACATTTATAGGAAAGAGAAACAGAAAAAGACAAGCGAAAAATATCCATTCATTCATTAATAATATCTAATATTAAAGTGTAAAAATATTCCCTTCCAGATGCTTGAACACGTTTTCTCGACAGTCTTTAGATACGTATATTCCCTCATTAAGAAATACAGGGCCATGAATTGTTTTATTCCAAGTTGCCAAGTTCCTCGCAAAAGTTTGCAGTATACCAACCCCCGGGGTGCCATTGAGGGGCGAAGAGATACCGTTCTAGCATGAAGTGTGCCGCCAAATCCAGTGAAACGCCGTTTTTCTCTGGCGGCATTGTGGATTATCGTAAGACCGACCGACAGGCTACGCTGGGTAACGGAAGATAGCGCGAATCTCGTCGCGAGAAGGATCCAACAATAAGCCGAAGTGCCTGAAGGAGCTGTCTGGATACAACTACCGCTAGAACACCTACATCCTGTGTACGTAGCGCGGCGACGTACGTACGGTACAGCATTCGCCGGGTCGTAGACGACGAGCAACCGGTGACGGTCGACTTAAGCTTATCTCCATTCACGGATCCGCGCTGTGTACGGTCTAGTCTGCTCATTAGACGGTCTTGTCGTTTCCCCGAACATTCGCGGCTCAACGTCACAGATGGAAAAGCGAGGGAGCCGTAAACTCTCCCGTCAGGAATCCTCTCACGTTAAAATCCCCCGAAAATCACGTATGTGACACGACGAATTAATACCCGATTCGTCGTTAAAATTCTTGATTTCGAATATTACGCGTGTACAGTGGCGCGAGATTAAATTCTTTTAAATTCGTTTCGATTCGCCCATTTTTCGCTTTTTTTCGGCTTTTATTTTCCCATCAATTACGCGCTCGTGCGTAACCCGCGGCTTCTCGTGATTTCGAAAATTTCATTGCCGAAGCCCCCGAACCTTGACCGAATCCTATTATACAATTTTTATCGGAATTTTCAGCGCGCGTTTTTATCGTCTCGGCTTACTCGCGAGCGTAACATTTTGCTTGAAATGCTGAAAATCTCGGCGAAATTCGGCAATAATCAGCGAAGAGTCATACATGAATTTTCACGAATACATCATTTATCGATGATAAATCAGAACAATCGATCACTTCTAAATCAGTACGAGCAAAGCTAGCAGCGCCGGCGCTACTATGAATAATCATGCGCGTAATACCTCCCTATGATCATTTGATAATAGCTGATCGACTAATCTCCATTTCGAATAATGGTTTGTTCATTAAGGCCCAATTCGATATCGAATTCCAGACTCGAAAGCGTCTAGCCCGTCGATCATTGCTGGGTGACGATAAAGTCGTTGAAAAGGGGAATTTTCATTCCCCTATTTCCCCGAGATCTCAAAGGTGAAGCAAATTTCCATCTTAAAAAATCTCTCATAAATAAAGAAATTACATTTAAAGAAGTATAAATATACTGTCAATAATCTACGATTAATACTGTTTCAAATATTGGTAGAATCTCTTTTCCCATTACTATAGAAGAATAAAATTTAATCTACTCAAAATCATTCGTAATTGTAAAATATCGAAGAAGGTAAAAATTCGTCTCGTTACATTTTCATTTATGAATGTAAATTTCGTCACTTAGTAAAGTGAATCACACCGACACATTCCCTCCGTGCGGATTAATAAAGTGCGCCGTAGCGGAGATACGGGCGGAATTAGCTGGCGCGATAAAATTTTCACAACAGCCATTACCTTGTAAAAGTGCAGCCGGCTGCGGGTGATCCGGCGAGGACCTTCGCACATACGAGAAAATAATTACCGCAAGCACAGCAATTAGTCCTGAATTATTATGCTGCGGCGCAGCTGCAATTTCGCGGAAATCACTCTCGTAATCCGGCAAGAGTTCGGCTGCGCCGTTTGTTCGTTCGCGGAATTTCGTCCTTTGTAATCGCGAGTGGAAAGAGGACAATACGATAGAAGAAAGACGGATAAATATACTCTCTGTATATTAAAATTAGGAATATTCGTGCGCCACGTACAGCTCTCCGCCGGCTAATGATGCATTCTCTGTAGTTCTTTTGTTA